TCATTTTCATCTTTTCCGATATATCGATGATATTCTAATTGTTAATTGTACCAACTTTGCTGAAATGCCAAGAAAAAATGCCCTTAAAAACTCGCTTTGAAGGATGTTGGGACCGGTTTTTCTCAGAAACTGTATCAAATTAACAGTCGTATACAGTCGTACTAGTTATTTGACATAACATAGGTCAATGTGCCAAAGAAATCGTTATAAATACTAGCCTCCAACAAGTCATATGTGTGCGGCATATCTTTCGCATAAGGAATGTGTAAATTTTCCATTGGGTGACGTTTTGTAGTGACCAAACCATCGACATCCATCAAATAAACGCGTGCGCAAGCCGCTTTTCGCGATGCACCTTCATTGACCATTTGTGCAACACAAAGTTCCGCAATACCCATCCCTGCCTGTAAAATGAAGCACTATAAGCGTTTCTTTGCAGATAACATAAGCTGCGACAGGATCGAACTTGTTATCCCCACTATCTTTAGATCCTTCGAGTCGTGACGTGTTATCCACTACACTACCAGTTTTCTTGCTCCAAACAGCAATTGAAGTATTTATATGTGTGCTACTGATAGATGTTGTTATCCCCACTATCTTTAGATGTCTAGCGCTGCTATCGTATTCAGCTGATATTTTTTCATTTTAGCTTTTTGCAAGGACAGTTCGAGAATGTTTTGTTGAGAATGCATAAAGAAAAGGCACAGACGAACGCAAACGAAAACTAACAGCGCCGGCGCCGTAGAAAAGGAATGTTTCGGCGCTAACCGGTCGCCCAGTATGTTCCTTACATGCCAGCAATCCGGCAAGTGCAGCTGCGGCAGTACCTAAAAATCAAATAAACACGAAAATTACGTTTTAATTTCTTTTCCAATTAACACTAAGATGAGAAATTCGTGTCTTTGGAACTAAAAGAGCTCATTATGCCAAGCAATGCACAAAAATTTAGAGCTGAAAATTGAAGTCCCGAAAGAACACCGATGACTATTGCACAGGCGTGAATTATTTCACAGCTGCTTCCAAACCAAGTATATTAAACACCTTGTATATCGTCATTGAACAAGCAGTACTGGTTTCGATACATCTGCAACAGGCGGTGTGCATTTGGCCTAGCGAA